GTGCTCGTTTTTTATTGTTTTTCTCAAAAAATTATATTATATATATATATATATATATATATATATATATATATATATAATTCGAAATAAAAGAATACTCCTCCTTTTTAATTACCAATAACTTCTCTCTTATTAGATGTCAAATATTTTAATAAGAATTCTTAACATTCAACTGGGGACCCCAAGGGATTAAAGAGATAGAAAAATAGGATAAAGAAACTTGTATCACACACAAATCTGTCCTAAAGATGGAGAGGGAGGGGGTGTAAAAATACACTACAAAGAAATTGAAATATAGTGATATACATTTTATAATGACACAATATATGTCACTAAAATTAAACTACTTTACCTATATAATAAATATAATATATGTTGGTATATTGTTAAAAAATGTGAGTATAAGTTATAGTAACACACAAAATATATTGTTAAATTTCATTCAAAATTAATACTAAAATTGTGTATAACTATATGTCAAATAGATATATACCTACATATATTATACATATAGTAACACTTTTTATATGTCTATATATAACATTTCTTATAGTGATAGAACAAATTGAGCAAGAAAAAGTTGGTTTACCTATAGGGTAAAGGAGAGACTGTAGTCCTAAACCAAGCATACAATATCTTATTAATTCATATACAATTCACAAATATAATAATTTGTAGGTTTACACTTTACATTTTATTGTTGTCATTGTAAGTTTTACTATTAAAAAAAACAACAATTTGTATTCAATGCAGCTTTGCTTTGATATGAGCTGCAATATTTTTCATTAAAAAAAATGAGCTGCAATTTGTAAATCATTTCCTAAAAATAACCGTTTAGGCTTCAGTCCTTTACTTTGTATTGCAAGCTAAATTTAGCAAAATGATTTCTGTTTATTTAAGAGCATCGTGTAACTAATTCAATTCATGTTCAACACTAATAGCACAAAATATCACTTCTCCATTCCAGGATTTGGAATGTGTATGAACATCCGTTTACATTTTGCAATGATGCAAATAGGTTCCTAATTAAGTACGTGCTGCTTTAATAATTCTAGAATTTTATAGATTTTACCACTTAATAAACAGGACTGAAAGAGGAAAACACGTTTTTTTCTCTTCTTCATAATATTTTATAAGACGAGGATAAAAAAAGACAAAAATGAAAGTGTAATGGACTTTAAGATCTTAATTATATAATGCGCTGTATATGATAAAGGTAAAACATAAAATCGTGCAATTCTCTAAAGTGATTATGTAATCTTCATATAATTTTGATTTTTCATTATTAAATAAAATAAAATAGGCTGTATTAACTTTTCCGAATATTATAGTAAAATATATTATCTCTATATATTGGTTTCCACTAAAACGTTCAATTAATCAATCTTCTATTTTTCTTGTCGCTCTTTTCTTTCGTTTTCCTATCAAAAGACCAGAAGTGACGTTTTGTTCTTTGTTCTTTTTCTAAAACTTTAACCAAATTATAAGCAAGATCATATCAAATTTTCTCTGGGCAATGCAAATGTCAAGACTCGAGATAAGATGGACCCTTACAAAGTATATACGTTACGATATGCAAAAGTAAACGGACTTTGTTTCTAAAAGTAAAAAAAGATTATTGGAAAATGCCAAAGAAGTATATGCAAATATGATATAATTAAGTTTACAAAATTGTTCTCTTTATCACAGGTCTTATTGGTTTTTCACTCACAATAACAACAATAAAACTTAAATCTACATCTAAGATTTTATGCATATTATACTTTGATTTCGTCATACCCTAATAATTTATTTTGTATTATTAAAACATGGAATTCATATTGGTTGGTGGTTCTTTAATCGATCACATCATAACATGGTATGTCATATAACAGCCAGATCACCCTAGCCTATAACTAGGTCACATTTAAGGGCACTTTGGCCTCCAGTGCCAACCAGTTGACTATGGTTTGTGTACGGATTTTGTCTTTGTTCGACGTTGTCATCCATGAATGTCAGAGAGAGAGAGAGAGAGAGAGGGGAAATTAAAGCATATAAGAACAATGAGTCAACTTAAAGTGCAAAACTATGCATATGATTGTTATACAACATACACAGCACTTCTCAAGAGAAATAATCATACATACACGGATACGTACTTTTAGTTGACAACAAACATGTGAAAGAAATAAGAACCTAGACATATTTATGTAACTTGAACAAACATGGTTTAATGGAAGAGCCATAACTAGCAAGGCTCAGGTTTGCCGATATGAGATTGATCTACTCATCACCCTCTTTATTTGAAAAATCCAGAGAAAATTAAATGCATGTTTTAAAATGCATGAAATATTAATTGAGCTCATCACAACCTACTCAATTATATATACATAAAATTAACCTATTATATGATAGTAACCAATGCTCATCTTGACAGCAAACTTGAAGGAATATTGATAGGTTTTGTGACTATTTGTCTGCTTGGTAGAATGATACTGATGAAGATGATGTTGTTGAGGATGGCAACGATGACATGATGATGGCATCAATGTACTCCACTTGATTTGGTGCCACGGTTTGATCTTGTGGACAAATACTAGGTGTGTAACACGCAACAGCTTCCGGATCATGTTCTTGTGAATTATTATCAGAAGAAGAAAATGGGATGCTACAGACATAATCCTCAATGCTCTCACAAACTTTTGGCACAATGGGGGGTTCCAAAGAGTGCTGCCATGTACTTGGATTGATGAATTTCTCAACAATCAAGTGTGGGGTGGTGTCACTTTTTGTGATCATTATTTGATTTTCTTGATTTGGATTAAGGTGAATTGGTACACAGCCCAAGGACCATGTATCTTCAAACAAAGATGGGATATTATTAGATGGCGGCACTGTTTCTGGCATTGGATTCTGAAAATGTAGGAAATTGGCATTAGTATTGTAATTGTTTATGTCAATCTTGATATCATTGTCATGATCAAAGCCTTGCAAGATTGGGGGAGGGATGATGGGAAGGTATAGTTGGTCTAAGTGATGATGGGAGTTTAGGATAGGGTTGGTGTCAGTTAAAGGGAAGAAACTTTCCATGGAACCATTGGGAGGACCGTGAATATCAGAAAATGTGGCTAAAGAAGGAACAACATCATGAGAAAGCAGCTTCTTCTTTATGCTTGAATTCCAAAAGTTCTTCACCTCATTATCTGTTCTTCCAGGTAGGTGCTTCGCTATCTGAGCCCACCTGTGTCCAAAACAACACCCTCTCGTTAAGAAAAGTTAACAAACCAACCTTTTCATAATAATGTTGACTTTGATCATCATCATCATAAAAAGAGCAATTTACGGGGAAATAAGAAAAAGAAAGAAATAAAAAGGAAATTTATTATCAATTTATCAATAAATAAATAAATAAAAACCTGTTGCCTAGAATACTATGAAGCTCTATAATGAGTGCTGCTTCTTGAGGAGAGAAGCTTCCTCGTTTCAAATCAGGTCTTAGATAATTTATCCATCTTAATCTGCAACTCTTTCCACACCTCTGCAAGCCTGCCCTCCATGAAATAGTTAACCATGTAATTAGCAAGTTCATAAGTCTCTTTGAGTACTAATAAAAGAATAAAATGGTATGCAGTTTATACTTAAAGAGTCTATTTAAATAGAAGTTAGAAGAACTTCTCTATCAGAAAATTAATTTTGACAGAGAAACTCTCTCTTCTAAACTTGGAACTAAACAATTTTAAAATAGGAGAAGTGATATATATATAATTACCCGCAAGTTTTGGAACTGAGCTCCAGCAACCATGTCCATAAGTTGTGATGTAGTTGATGAGTTTTTCATCTTCTTCAGGTGACCAAAGCCCTCTTTTGACCTTCTGCTTGTTGCAGCAAGAATGATGCCCCATATCTCCAATTTTATTTTATTTTTCTCTCTCTCAAATATTTCAAACCAATGGTACATACAGAGGCAATGGCCAAACAAGGATCAGTTTTGGTGTTTTATTTGAATTTGAGGATAAAATATAAAACATATATATAAGGGAAGCACAAAAGAAGGGAAACTCTAGGGTGTAGCTTTAGCCCTAGTTTGCAAGTGGTTATATGAAAATGTGGTGAGAGAGGGAAGAAGAGAAAAATGGATGATATGCGAAGAAGTGAGGTGGTGAATTTAATGTGGGGAGTGGCCCAGTTAGGGTTTGTAGCAAAGGGCTAAAATGTGCAGTGTGAGACTGCAACAATTGTAGGCCTTATAATGGATCCTTCTTAGCTCACTCTGGGATGGGCTGGCTTGTACACGTGTCACACATGCAGGGTGGTGGGTCCCTCCTCAACGCAGATGAAGAAAGTTTTTCAACGGGGTTGGTGAAGCAATGCTTATATATTCTTGCTTTATGGATCTATGCCTCAGCCTCTCCAATTTAATTACCTCAACTTTTGACCCTTTCAGACCAGTAACTAGGGTGAATATTGTCAATCACTTTTTCAATCATTGGAATTCATTAACAAAAATATCTTTCACGCTCATTCAGATCAGATAATTAATTAATATATACACCTAAGGCAACCCAGACAGGTAGAAAATATTAAAAAAAATATATGAATATTAGTTTATGGGTGGAAGAAAATCAAATACTAATTTATTAAAGGTCTTTCAGCTTCAATGTAAAAAACTCTTGAGTTGTGTATGAAAATACTAACAACCGTTTGAAAGATGTGATTAAAGGTAACTTGTTCCTTTTTTTAAGTGAATATTAGTTTTTGATGAGCTCGAACTACTAAAAAATGCATAGAGTTCTAAAAGATTTTGAATGAAAAGCATCCAAATTAAAGGTAGATTTAAGGGCCGGGAAGACAAAGGTGGCCAGGGCCATCTATCATAAATATATGATCAAATAATTAATATTTTAATCTCATGCAAAAGCTTGTGTAGATCTTCCAGCAACTTGGCCCAGCCTCCACAACACATTTGCAAATTATATATTCCATAAACTATGCATAATTAATTCACTCTTATTCATAAAACTCTTATTTCCAGCACCATGTATTTTGAGTCTTTCCTTATCATCAACGAACTGGCCAATTAGCAATGGAGACGATTAAGCTCGACAATTAATATGATGAAAAGAAATTTACGATTGAATCTCATTATGGCGGCGGTTGTAATCTTTACTACTCATCATAAAAAAATGCTCTTATTGTTGTGTAATTGTGAATTAAGAGTCTCATATTAAATAAAGTTAATAAATCTATGAAGTAACATATAAATGCTTAACATTTGTGTTCACATCCTTATTAGTTTATGTAAAATCTAGTACTAGTTTTAAATTTATTTTAAAGAAAATGTTTGGGGATCTGAATAAAAGGAGTGGTACGTATGAACTTTGGAAAATTGCCACCAAACGCGGTCAAAGGTAGTGATTATTTGCTGAATTACTTAATTATCACGTGTTCCTTTTTAGTGAAATATGAGCTTCCATAGCATATCCCTAAATCTTATAAAATAGAGTAGTTTTTTTTTTCTTTTGGAGCAGTAGAAATTAAAGAAAGAAAAAATATAATAAAGTAATTAAGCTATTTTTTTTTTTGCTAAAATATATAATAAATTGGTCCTATTGATGAACCCATCAGCACTAAAAATCTAAAGAACTAAAAAATAAAATAAAAAGGAGATCGAAGATAACCAATAATGATTATCAACTTACGTTAGAGTATATTATTTGAGAATCTTGAAAGCGTCTAAATAATTTCATCAACTATATATTACCGAAAAAATGTCCAATCTCAACAGACAAAAAAGTAGTAGTTATTAGACATGTGTTTTTGATAGTGTAATTTTAACTGATGAAAATGACGACTAATTAATACGTTTCCCCATTAAAATATGACATTTTTCTATTTGTGTATTTAAGACATTTGAAGAGAAAGAGCTTTTATTTTTTGGATATACTTCAAATCGTGCTTTCTTAACTGATGGCTCGTGTACGCATTAATTCAAACCCATATAAGACATGCTTGACTACTTAGATGAATAAATGCTTAAGAAATGATTATTAATCATTCTTATTCTTATTGAGACTAACCAAGTTTAATTGACAAGTGACATGATAATGTACTATCGTTCCAAATTTGTGATAAAACTTCAAGGGTCATATCTTTAAGAAGAAGAAACATTGAAGTGTATAGAGTTACTCAACTTTGAAAGTTATATAAATCTAGATACTACCGTGGGGAAGAACAATGAGGTGGTTTTAATTAAGAGAACTCATCACAAATATGCAATTATAGTAAGCAAAGCATAATCAATAACTTTATGGTTTTTTTTAATTAATTATATAATTGGTGCATGGGCATAGCTATAATTAATTAGTTTGTCCAAACAATAACTTTTGCTAATCCATGACGCAACTCTTTTGCTTGTTGACCACAACCATAATTTGCATGGCATTATTTGTCCTTAAAGAGTTAGATTCCTTCGTAATGAGCATTGTATTTCTAGAACTTCAAAATTTATAAAATTCTAAAATTGAAAAAGAAATTTGTGATGATTTTTTTTTTTAAGATTTTATTTATTTTAATGAGATATTCTAAAGAGCCCAACCTATTTATTGAAAACCTTTTAGTTGAATCTTTTTCACATTCACGCAAGAATTTTTTTTTTTAGGAAGTGATATATGATGATCTTATTTTCATAGCAGGAATATTATTTTCTCCCTTTCCTTTCTTTCTCTCACTTAATTTTACAACTTATTATATAATTTTTTATTTAAGTACCAATTTTTTCTTCTTCTAAAGTTTAATTCTATTATTGAGCTAACTCTAATTTCCTTGACTTTTCAATTATTAACTTGTGTGTGTTTTAATTCTCCACTGGTCAACATTTAATAAAGAGGTACGGTTTTTATCCTCTTATTAAATTCTTACTAATTAAGACTGATTCTCACTAAAATAATGATAATAAAATAAATGAATTTAATTATTATATATTAATTTTTTTACATTGTTAATTAGTTATAAATCACGTTATGTATGACTTTTAAGATAATTGTTGAAATAGCTAACAAATTCTTTATATCAAAGCTTGTAATTGAATGAGAATTTAGAATCTTTTAATATATTTTTTTAGTGTGTCCAAAAGATATCATTTAACTAATTACTAGTGGGAGATTGATTACATATTTTAGAGATGTGAAATTAAATTACGAAAAAAAAAGTTTTACCTTTCATTATAAAGTCTTCTTCATATGCACAGTTAAAAAATTAATTATACAATTGTCAATGACTCAATATAATCAAATAATTCAACTATGTATCAAATGTTGTAAACTTTGTTGGGCGTTTACACCGTTAGTGCTTAGATTATTTTCATTTAAAATCACATTAACAATATGTTGAACATCATAGTAGAACGTGTTATGATATTCTCCTTTTCATTTCTTAATTAATTAAAGCTCTTAAGATGCTGGTAGAATGTTTTAATGATTTATAAAAACTCTTCCCATTAATGTCTTAATTAATGCTCTTATAACACTTATTACTGTCAACTTCAACAAAATTAAACAAATGATGTATATTCTTTCGTTCATGGTTATAAAGTAAAGGAGAATATCAACACATGTTGTAAGTGTGAAAAAAAAAAAAAACCACATGTTGTCTCTACCTAAATTAAGACAACTTTTTTGGAAAAGGTTGTTTTTCACAAGTAATATAACGTGTACACTGTTGAAAAATAGAGAATTAAAAAATATAAAAAATACAATAAAAAAGGAGAAAATATGACTATAAATAAATGTAAAAGGTAAACAAGAATATTCATTAAATTTTAAAGATAATAATTAAAATATTAAAGGAAAAGTATTTATTTATGTGGTTATTAATTAATGAACATACATATTCTTTAATAAAAAAATTAATATACACTCATTTTTTTCTTACATCTCATTTTTATTTTGAGAAATTTTATTTGTACAACAATTTTAGAGTAGTTTTTGTACGGTTAAGAAAGGAAAAAATATAATAAATGAAGTGATTAAAAAATAATATATCAATAGTACTGTATAATATAAATTGTTTAATAAGTTGTTATGTGAATAATATATTTTTTAATTATTCTCTTTGTTTTTCTCACGTCATTTATCATATGAGTTTAATTCTTATATATAGTTAATGTAATAAAAAAAATTACACTTTCATTTAATCATAATTTACGATTTATATGAATTTTTAAGTTAGTTATTATAAAAAATTAATAAAACTGTTTTATTATGTCAATATATCTCTATTAAACTCTTATTATATTTGTCATTTTTTTTCTCCTATCTTTTTCTTTCTCTATATAACATTGACATAAAAAAAAATTGTAGCGTTATTATTGCTCTTTTTCTTTTAACAATATTCTTAAAGAAAATGTTAATATTTAAAGTGATTTTAGAAAGAAAAAAAGGTAAATAATAAAATTCTTATATCTACACCCTATATTACTACACGTCTACACTTCCCTAAACCTAATTATTAGAGCTATGGAGATCAATGATTAGCTGCAATTCGTTGAACTTGCAGCATTATGCAAAATTAACAACCCACAATAAAAGAAAAAAAAAGTTAAAAGTAACTTTTTAAAATAAAATAAAATAAAAAAACAGAACCATAAAACTTATTTAAACCCTCCAATAAAAAAAAAGGAAAGAAAAATATAAATGATAGGACAGATGATGAAGAATTCACCGGCAGTATTTTTCCTTTTTTTGACATCAAGGATCCGCCGGTCCGGTTATATTCCTCTCCTTTTGCTTATCGGGATTTGGTCCTTTCATAAACTAGTATATTAAAACCATCTAATATTTTGATTTATGTTAATAACACAATTTTTCACCACATATTTAAATAATGACACGTGGATTATTTTGTGGAAATCATATAAATTTTATTTTAAAAAATAAAATATTATTTTACTAGCACTTTTCTTTTTTACAAGATGAGAACTTAAAATGTCTTGTTTTATTTAATATTTTTCATTTTAAAATTATTTATAAATATTTAAAATGCTCTCAATATGCTTATTAATGTAACATAAGGATAACAAAATAAACGAACTTCTATTATAAGAAAATATTAACGAATGAATTTATAATATTAGTTGTCTATGTTGAAATCTTAGTATTGAGAATGAATTTAAAATACTATTTTATATGTTTTTATGATTTTTTTTATAGAGATCAGTCATTAATTTTTTATATATTAAATGTTATAAAATTCATGATGATTACCTAAAAAGAAAAAATAAAAAAAAGTGTAATTTATATACATGTGTCTGTATTATGCTATTCTTTTTTTATTATGTTACAATATACTACTCAATTCATTTAATTTAATACAATTAAAATAAATCATTCTTTCCTCTCTAAGAAACTCATATTTTCCTTCCATTCTTATGTTTTGTATATAAAATAAACTACACATTTATATCTGAGATACAAGTACTGAAAAAATATATAATTTAAATTTATTAATAATTAATTTTTATTTAATAATGAATTATTAATATACAGGTTCAATATACAGATGTTGTCTTTAAGTTATTAAATTCAATAATTATAAAAATAATATTTGATATCTTTATATATTATCTTTAATTTATAAAGTATTTTCATATTTGTTTAAGTCTACTTATGTGACAGCGAATATGTACCCAATTTCCAATATTAGGTGGATGTCAGCGGCTCACCGTGGATTGGAACCTGCAAATTACATTGTGATGGTGTTGTAGGGGAGGAGACTATGGTATCCTGTGGTGGGATACTAAGAAATCATCTTGGTAGGTTTATGTGTGCCTTTTCTATTAATTTGGGAAAATCCATTGTCATTCAAACAAAACTTTGGGCCCTCTATTATGGACTTAAACTGATATGTGATATAAGCTTTAGTGAGAAGATATTAGTAAAGTATAATCTTACTTTGACTATTAAATTCTTAAACAAGGGATTTTTTTTAAATTTTTTTTTATTTTACATAAACCATGCTATTTTTTGGTTAACATTGTACCCATATTATTAGAGAAGCAAATCAAGTCATTGGTACGTTTGTTAAGGGTGAAAGTTTTATGATGGAAGGAATGTATATTTTCTCAAGTCCTCTTCCTTGGATTCAAATTCCTTTATTTGGATCTTTTCTTTATGATTTAATTATTTATTATTCTTGTTATTTTTATATAACTAATATACTAGATAGGTTTTGATTTAGATGAAAGTGAAGTTTAGGTTATGGAAAATGTGTTAAAAGGTTAATGAAGAAGTTTTCTAATATGTATGGTCATGCTATGTTTTGCTATTTCATGGGGAAGAAAAACAATTAACTGCCTATGAGGTTAAATAATGTGTTAACTAATAATAAAAAAGTGTGTTAGAGAGATTGTGTGGTATCATATCAATAAATAAACAAAGAATGGTAAAAAAAATTGTGAAAGAAGATGTTTGTGTGATTGGTATCGGGAAAATGGTAGCACTGGAAAGAAGGCAATGGGGACAACGTGAAGAATATAGTTGCCGGCCACTTTGTGTACGCATTTCATATCGATCGATGGACCAAAAGCAGCTGAGCAAAAGTATGCTTTTACATCCTGTTTCTGGATTCCATGCAAAGTACTATCATAAATAATTGCCTCATGTTCATCTAATCTTTTCTCCATGCATAGGATCACCCAGATTATTAATTTTACGCCTCCCATTTTTCTTTCTTCCTTTCATTTTTAATCAAGCTTTGTTTATTTTCTAGTATATGAAAATTGGGTCTTACTTGTTACATACATACTTGGTTTTTAAGTCCTCTGCTAAAGCAAGAGTGTTTTACAATTGGAATGTGAAGCGTAAAGGCAACCTTATTTTCATGTCGTTGTTTGGCTATTATTGTTGCATACTCATGCCGTTTGACCATTCCATGTCCTTCCCTTGTTTTATTATAGGACAAAACTTAGATGGTGTTGTTGTTTTATTATTATGTTTATTACTGAAGTGAATCTCTAATTCTGATGAGAGAACAACACTTATGATGATCTTTATTATTTGCATCTGCATATAAACTTCAAAAATATAATTCTTCAGCAATTTCTGATCTAGTTTTTTTGTTAAATATTCATTTATTGTTGATGTGCATAAGTATGCTAGAGAAACTAGTCTTTTTGAACCTTCAACAGCAAATGCAATCAATTTGGCTTTAGGGTCATCTTTAATTACAGTTGGCATGTAGCCCCTTGAAGAATGCCATATATAGTAAAATAAAAAGCTAAGAACAAATTTCTTTCTTGCTGTGAAAGAGGCTGCAAAGCAGCATGGAGTTCCCACAATTTGTTGCTTCTGAGAGAAAAAGTAGGAGCATGCCAAGCTTATGATGGAAGAAAGAGCTAGTTAAAACAAGATTCCTAATTAATTGCTGCACATGCATCATTTAATACTACTGGCCTCCTTTGCTTTATTTGTTGAGCCATCAAAGGACTTTGTTGTCAGAGTCTTTTGTTTTTTTTCCTCACTTACAGAGATATCAAAGCAAGTACATGAAAGAATGCCATGTAATTCTTTGTCCTCTACTGATTTCAGATTGGTTTTGGTATGGGTCATTTTCAGTCAAATGCTAGTTTCTTTCTTTTTCCACTCTCGAGAGGATGGGGATTTTTCGAGATACAAGGAAAGAAATCAAGATGCATGTCCCTTCAGATACAACGAGAATCTAAATAAAGAAAAGTAGCATATGGCTCACCTAAAGTTATCTTTAAATCTCGTTTGCTACCATATGGTAAAAATAACCACAATATTATAATCCATACAGCAACCTACAATTATTGTAAACTTAAGTGTACTTCTATTAATGATTTAAAGCTAAATCGATATTAAATTAATTCAATTGATCATGCAGATGAACTCTTATATGCTTGAAGGAAGCCTAGAGGGGAAATATTGCAATGCTTCACCAAGGGAAATTCTATCAACATTCCAGTAGCTGTTAGATTTGAATAAGTGTGTTTGAAACCAAATAAAAAAACGTGGATTAACACACTCTCTATTTAATAGAAGCAACAAATAGTAGTTTTTCAATCAATTGATGTGATTCTGACTTGGAAGTGGATCTTGGATGCACATCTAAACATGCCCTGAATAGGCCTAAGAGAAGATAAAGGGTAGATTCAAAATGCTGAAGGAACCAAAAGTTTGTTCATAAGATAGGTTCACAGGAGAAATAAATACTTGCTTTGTTTACACACATGCAGACGTACACAAAACAAACTTTGCACACTTGTTCATGATCAAAATAAAGAAAAATATAAACAACTTTAACTCAAGGACAAGAATTGCTAAAAACATTTTACCATGGCTATATTAAACATAAACGGAGAAAATGAAGAAACTTAAATCTGAATTTTCATGAGTCAATCAATAATTGGCACTGATGCATACAGGTAAAGGGCCACATTAGTATTTATCAGTATGGCCAGTGCAAATAGTGGGAAAAATAAAAGAAAAAGAGAAGAGATGTTATATTCTTTATAAAGCAAGGAAACAAGACTAGAAATGCCCTACAGAAAAAGGGATATCCAAGAAAATAGGCCTCCTATAAGGCCCCACTTCGTCTTCCTTCTATTCATGGCAATCCCCCATGAAAGGAAGTTTGCACACTTACTCCAAATTGAAGAAAGCATCCCTCGCTTTTTCTTTCCCCTCACTTGGGAATCCCATCAAATGACATTCAAAAAATTTTGCAACTTTTGGTGGCATCCTGATTTCTTGCCTTTGTTAGCGCATATTCTCACGTGGAAAGCCTATAGCACCCTCGTCTTGTGCACGTAGGCCATGCAGTATAGACAAGTCAAACTAATGGTTTGGAGATACCCTCTAAACTAAAGCCCTTTCAGTATACGTCCATGCTTCTGAAATTGACCTTTGAACCATTTCATTGTTTGGTCTATTTGGAACTCAAAATGTTTCATTAGTATTTTTTGTGTCTATATAATATATCAATCTTTTTTGCTTGATGTTTACCGGTTAAATGATGCACTAATACTTCAAAGGTGACGGTGATAACTGTGGTCCTTTACGCAAAAGCATGATTGACTGGAGCTGGACCATACTACACGTTGCATCATTGCATATTATTTATTGTACATAGGACCACGTGACTTTAACTGTTAAACTTAAATTATTCTTGTTGCTTAAGTGGAGATAAGCATTGTCAATTAAAGCTTACACATCTATAATCTTGAATTGATGTTTTTTGCCCGTCGTATTGATGGTTACCGCTCTGCAGTTTTGGGTTCAACTTGCATAATGGACAATAAAAGTTGGGTGCACGGGTTTAGGGATGTAGCCAGAAAAAACAAACATGATTTTTTTCTGGTCCACAACTAATAAAAGAACTATTTGTGATAGGTTGACACTGTTAATGTGTAGTAATGGAGGTCAATGAATGGACACCGACTCAAGATGATAAATGCGTGTTTAAATTATCTTATTTTGAAAAAAAAAAACTATAAAAAGGATTACCAATTGAAGCCCAGCAACTAAAAGCATGCGGTAGTAGTATGTTATGATGTACATTGATTTCTGGCTGATATCATTTTTAAAATCAACAGAAGGAACTGACAATGTTGCAGGTTGCAACATATAGCCCTTATTATTTTGGACAAAAGCAGTCAAAATTATTAAGAGGATCAGAATGGTAGAATTTTATTTTATTTTCTGCTACTGAACAGTACCATAAATTATTAAGTGAACAGAGGCTTCTAGGTTAATGTTTAACACTAGTAATAAAAACCAGAGTCAAACTTACAAGGCGTGTTAGCAGCTTCTCTAATTGAATTACTAGAAATTGAAAAAAGAAAAAATTATTGGCCAGCTTTTCTAATTGAATTACTAGATAATGCAAACACGGAGGAGGGTACCATGTGTCCATGCCTGCATGCACAAGTGCACAAGTTCAATGGATTTTTCATGGGCTGCGTATAGATCACACAACAGTTATGACTAAAAAGCCCATAACAAGTGTTTAATCCCCCATACTAGCTTAGTAGCTTATTGAGTGGAAAGAGCAACATACTTCACTAAAATGTAGGAAACAAAAACAATGCATCGATAGCTTCCAAAAATGGTGAAGAACATTGTCTCATCTGAAGCTCGATTTCTACTTGAGTTAAATAATTCATACACAAAGCTATTATGCATATATTAGTGTACAAAACACCACACATATTACAGTAGTGTACTAGTTTGCTATTTCATTCTTCACACAAAACCACCTATCTACACTGCCAATTAGCCCATAATCCTAACATCCCATACGTGCTCATCTAACTATGTCAAACGGACAACAAGCTGTTGAACTCATTGAAAGTAGACCACAATACTCTCTGCCAATGTTACAGAAGCTCATATCCTAATTTCTCGTTTTTGATAACTGGCCCTTAAAGGTGTTGCACAAGAATCCTTCCATAAGTTAACTGAAGGATCAGAATTAGAACTACTTCTAGAATCTCCATTCAAAAAGCCTGTTGTTGAACTGTGAGATGGACACTCCTCCATAACAAGTTTCTTTGAATTCAGTGAAGAACTCCTGCAAGCTTTCAGTTTAGCCTTGGTTGTCTCTGTCAAATTCATGTAGCTTGGTTGATGAACATCTCTTTCCTCCGTTGCTTCCACCAAAACAGTACTTGTGGATGGCAAAGATGGAGATCTAGATGTACAAGATGTTGACACAGGGCTATCATCACACATGTATTCAGAGCTTATAGCTGAAGATGATGGCGTTGATATAGTTGCAAGAGATTTAAGCGAAATCCTAGTTGTCACACCATTCCTTCTTGATTGAAAAGCAGGAACAAGGTCTTCACTCTTCCTGGAAATAGGACTCTCCCAAGGCTTGGTCTCCATCCACCGTTCTAACAAGCTACATCCTAAGCTCTTATTGCTTAGGTTGTGATGCTTGAGAGGAGTCAATGCCTTGGTGCCTTTTGTGTTTGGACTAGCACATAATCTTGACTGCTATAACCAAACAAAGATATTTGAACCACATGAATTTGTTAACAATTTTAACTCCTAAATCTTATCAAAGGAAAAAACGTATACCAGAAAACATCTTCTCAGCTTCATTACCTGTGTGGACAGAGAGTATGCCATTGCTCTATCCCTCTTGATGGCTCCTTCTTGTCTCATTCGTAGCTTTGCTTTAACTTCATCCACTGTTCCAGGAATGTCACACCACCTTTGCTGATAATAATAACATGACAAAATATGCTACATGTTAGCATCTCCTAATATGTTACCTCAATCATCAATGTTACATTATCTTAAAGAAATTCATGATACCTCAATCTGCTTGAAAGGATCAGGTTGGTTGCGATGATCATCTAATAATTTCTGCACTGCTTTTCCTTCAGGGGAATTCCTCACATTCCTTGCCCTCACACGTGCCTGAACACGAACAAGAGCCTGCATGCACCTTAGAGTAACTGCTGCTTGCTTTCTTACTAGCCGGCCCCGAAAAATAGCTTGTAGCCTTACCACTGCCCTCAAGGCCCTCAAAGCTCGCCTAGCCTGCAAATTGTGTATCAATAAGGTCAATATGAAAAAGAGAAAATCATCACAATATAAAGATGCAAGCACAAGATACACACGCCTAATATACTAATCACAAGAGACACAGCCTGTGGTAAAGCCTAAAGGGGCCTAGGAATATCAAAATTCAATTTCACTTGGGTTGATGAGAGCTCTGAGCTAATTTGAAAGCACAGATTTTTAAATTTGGATCTATTAGTGGAACTTGAACAAAATCAAGTTTCATAGGTGATGGGGTCATGCCAAGATCAGGAGATCCTAAATCTTGATTCCTAAAAATTGGACTCGGAAATTGGAATTTCAAAGTCACATCACATCTAACCATAGGCCAAATTTAAGATCTAAATAAACAAACCAAGATATTAGAAAGCACAAACAAACTCATAGCATAACTAACAAGCCTAAATTAAAGGTTAATGCATGCATGAACATGAGAATTACCAAGAAGGCTCGAAATACTGCCTGAATGCGAATGGCAGCCCATTCCTGCCTGATGATCTTG